TAAGATGGTTGAAAGCTAATTCCTTTTCAGGAATAGCTTTGCATGGATAATTCTTTTGGACTGTCATAACTACTTCTCTGAGTGTCGTACAATGCTGACATCGTGAGCTCTCTTCAAAGATAGGAACTCCCTAAGATCACCAATAGTTCCATGTGGATGGAACTTTTCAATCATCGTTGATGAGGATTGGTTCATGGAAATGAATTCCTCAAACTTTATTTGGTCAAATTCAATGACCAACGATTTAGCAAAAGACCTAATGGTCTTAATGTTGGTGTGCGACACGATTTTCTCGTTAGAGGAGAAAGAAGTCCACAGTGGAGTCGCCATCTTGTTTTGGGTCTTTTATATTAGGTCTAATGTTTATGAGCCTACTATCTAATCTAGTTTTGATGATTAACAAACAATTCCTAACATCGTTTGTCAAGTGTTTGTTTTACTCGTTAGGAATCCTACACAAAGATCCTCTTGGTCGGAGGTTGGTTGGACTTGCGCCTTCACGATAATTTCTAAATGAGCTTGGAGGAAATCGGGATGAAGCCGTCGCAATTCAAGTCAAGATCCATCATCACTTCATCCGCAATCAAGACGAGCTTAATTGAAGATCAAATTGCTTGGGTATAGTGTTTTAGGTTTATACTTTGTGTGTTTATACTTAGAGCTCAAAATTCATACACACACACATTTGTTTTGATTTATCATTTAATTTGATTTATCATCGTTTTGGATTATAGACTTAACAACACAATTTTATATCTTTCCTCAAGTCTATAAATCTATTTCAAAGTATTTCAAAACTTGTTCATCAAAATCAAGTTTTCAACAAGTTCGTATTTTTGACCGGTTTGCAAAATGATAAGTTTTCACACTTGGGAAATGCAATTTAAAAAATTTCTTCTCTAACATATTCATCTTCATATATACAAACATTTCCCCAACTTTTACTAATTTTGGAGTTAATTTGTTATTTTTAATTGAATTTAAAAAATCAGTTTCTCGGGTTTCATGCTGTTTTTGCAAACCAGATGAGTTTTCACAAATAGGAAATGATATTTCAAAAATTTCTCCTTTAACATGTTTATTTTCATGTATATAAATATTTTCCCAAGTTTTACTATTTTTGGAGTTGACTTTTTATTTTTAATTGATTTTACAAAATCAGCTTTTCAGGTGAACAATATCTGTGAACAGTGTTTTCAGTTGATCGAAACTGTTCATCAGTCGACCGAATTGTTCATTTCTGTCTGTGCATGTTATCAGTCGACTGACACTATTCATCACTCGACCAATACTACTCATTAGTTGAATGATACTATTCATCAGTCGACTGAAAAGATACAGTTTTCAGCCGTCTGAGTTTTCAGACCGATGAGTCGACCGATGCAAATCATCAGTCGACCGATCAACGGTAACGGCTAGTTTTTGAAGGCTGTTTTTGAGGCTATAAAAGGTCCTCAATCCCCATTTCTTTTCCAAGAGTTTTTACAAAAGTTTTAAGAGACGTTTTTCACCAGTTGTTTACAGTTTTGGTGTGTTTGTTTTTGTGAAAAGATGTTCACAAAGAGAAGGCTTGCATGATTTCGGTTTGAGGAGTTCCACCTCAAATATCAGTCTCTACATCTCTTTGTAGAGAAGCTTTTCTAACTCTTTTATCTAGCTAATTTACATTTTTATTCTCATATACATAAGCTAGATTAAATTGAGTTTGATTTTATTTTATTTATTGATTGCACACACAACCTATTGAGCTTTAGTATTTCGCACATCGTATATTCAGGTTGTGGGGTTGTATCTTTGAGTGCGAGCTTATAATTTCGTTCTCAATTTGTGTTGGAGAACAAATCATTTTTACTTGAGCTTATTGTTGAATCACGTTGTAATACACAAGGACACTTAGAGTAGTGGTTGGGAGAAGAACGAGGTCAATTCCAAGAGGAGTGGCTTGGTTGTAAAAGCCTAGGGAGAGGTGTTTTTGTTAAAAGTTGCTTTTTTCATTGCTTTCAAACATGTTACACCGTTTATCGATTACAAGGTCAAACTGAAAGAAAAATTGATCTTTTTATAAGATCTTCTTACAATGAAAAATAAAGATTATAATTTTATCAAACAAAATGCAGCAGTAGTTTAACTCCCGCTGCTTTGTGTGGGATCTTTGCTTGTGCCGAGGATGCGTTAGTCTGTGGACCACCGCAGATCAAATCCGGTTGACAGTATAACTACGCTCCTGTTTTACAAAGGAAACAATTACGACAGCGACAATCACGACCAAGCGAGATTGTGGCTCTTCTCGAGATTAAAATCAAGTTTAATCTGGAGGAAAGAGGGGGAAAGAATCACAAACCTTTCGAAGGATTTTCTTTATGAAAAAGTTCGCCAAGATCTGAGAATTCTCCTCTGAAATTCATGGTTAACTGGACAATTTGACAGCATCTCGCCCTCTAAACTTCAGATCCTCTTGAAAGAACACCCTAGACTTCTATTTATAGGCTTTTGGAGTCGTGTTTTCGGATAAGAATTGATGTTTTAACGTTATCTACAGTTAACAACTGCTTAAACGTGTTCAGGGACAGCCTCATAACAGTTGGGGAGGTCCTGGGACGAAAGAATCCTTAAAAATCATCGAAATCTGCGTTTTGGGAGTCTTGGGGGTCGAAACACTCGTGATGGCTCGGAACTGTGCGAGCCACCATTTGGTGGCTCGCTCTCACGGGGGCCTCCTGGCCTGTTTTGTTCGTCTTTTTGACATTTTGGCCATTTGTGACTCCTCTAGTTCGCTTGTTTTTTCTTTACGTGCGTTTCATCATTTCGCTGACTTATACATTTCACTGATTCACTTTGTACGTTTACCGGGGTCGGATAATCTTCCTTGATTCGGATAATGACATTCATCGTCTTTTCTGTCTCGAGCTGCGTGCATGAACCTATAGGCAATTTTTGACGCCTACAGATACCCCCTCCAAAGTGTTTCAGTCTCGTTTCTTTTATAGAAGAGCATGAAATACTTTGGATGTGATAGGCCCAACCTTCAATCGGTGTGAAAGGACCTGTAATTGGCTTCAGTTCTTGACTTCTTCAATTCTCAGTCTATTCAGTATTTTGTCGAATAGCTAAAATTCTTCCGGCTCTGCGTTTATCATCTGACCGTTGTCGAAGTCTCGAATTGAAACTAGTGTGTTAATTTATGATTTAGCTCGTGTCGTTGAATCGACGTTGAACTGCTCGTCTTCGTCGAGGATTCGTATCGGAATTGAACGTAATCCTGAGCCTTGTTTTGGCGAAGCTATTGACGCGTTAACCGGTGTCAATTTGCGTTGAACGGCGTTTGACTCGCATTGACCGTTATTGACTTTCATCATCAAGCGTTGAATGACGTCAACCCGCATCGATCTTCTTTGACTTTCATCATCACGCGTTGAATGGCATCGACCAAAAGCTACGTGTTGACCAGCGTAAACACAGTTTATACTCATACATCAACTAGAGTCTACACAGTTTAGGCTCTTAAGGTGTTGGAGCAGAGAGGACCAGTTTATACTTGTATACTCTTTGGAGTTTCGGGAATTAGTTTAGCCTCATATACCCGTCGGAGGTCGTCAGGTTATTCTTAAGAATATTCCACACGATATTCTCCAAAAACTTCCCGTCAGGGGTAGGAAACATTTTAAACTCATATACCCACTGGAATGCGAATATGGGTGCTGTATATGTCAAAAGTACTCGAAAACGGGTAAAAATACATGCGGAGCACCCTCGAGCCTCACCATACATGCGAGCCAGTGTTTCGTGGCACGCACGTGTGCGAGCCAGTGTTTCGTGGCCGCACGTGTG